CAGTCCGTACCGCGAAGAAAACACAACGCCTCACCATTACAAAGATCAAGTGGTTAACGCTGTTTAAGGAAATAATAGATTTTTATTCTGATAATTAATTAACCCTTCGAAGCCGAAGCTCGTCTAAATAGCATTTAAGAATTCAGTCCGTACCGCGAAGAAAACACAACGCCTCACCATTACAAAGCTCAAGTGGTTAACGCTGTTTAAGGAAATAATCGCTGTTTACGCTCAGAATCGTATGAAAATAGACACGCCGTAAGGACAAAACGTAGAATTACTGAACATTAAATTAGGTGGTACATGCTTCAAGCGGCTGAGTCATCGTAACTGTTTCGTAGCAACGCATTCTCGAACCTTGACAGTACGTGCCGTGTTCTGAAGGGAAAAAAAAATTGTCCACGCCTGACAAATGCCAGGGTCGCGCTGTTTTAAAGAGATTTCCTTCAGTCAGATTTCATGTTCTGGCGGTGGCGAGTATGAGGATGACAGTCTTCTGAGATGTGTGTTCACCACCCTGATGATGGAGGCAGTAAACACCTCCGAAACATCGGTCAGTTTCTACCACACTACACGTCTCCATATTTCAAAGAATGAACCATCTTGATGTTCGTCGCCCTGAGAACCTGGAATCTCACAAGACGTAACGTAAAGCTGTCCCACTGTACGCCATGTAGGCGTTTAGGGGGAGCGATGGTATAGCTCCTACTCATTCTTAACCTCGGCTTTAGATGGGGGGTGAGTGGTCAGAGTTACGCCCCGGCCGGCTTTACTCCCGGGAAAGGACCCCGGTACCCATTGGACAGGAGGCTGGGTGGACGCAGAGGCCAGAGGATAAATCCTCTGCCTCCGCTTGTCCATCGTCAGGCACTGCACTGACTGAGCGATCACGAAAATCGCTTGAAAACGCAGCCAAGACATGGCCAAAGATCCATTCGTATTTAAAATGTTAAGTTATCACCTTCATCTGACCTTGAAGCAGGCCTAGAATCAATTATTCATTGACTTGCTATCATTATTTTTGTGAGCTTCAATACAGACGTCAGTGTACTCCATCAAGAACGAAGCCACTCGACGTCTTCTGTAAATCATCTCCCCAAAGGGATGTGGTTCATTCCATATGTGGTATTATTATTGCCACGACAAATGTTTCTTTGCGTTAGCAGGCGATGGCTTTGTTCTGAGCTCAGAAGCTCACATTTCTGTTGGATGAGTGTGCGTGGAATCATAAAAATTGTCATGAGTTTTGTGAGCTAACTTCTCTGCGAGGTGCAACTCAAATTTGTTTGTGGAGCATCTGATAACAAATTCTATAGTAATATGCCAATAGGCACCGCCTATTAACTGTTTTCAAATGTATTTTGTGCTCATTTCTCTGAGTTTACATTCTGAAATCTCTAAAATGTAGCAGAATTGAGATAGGAAAATAATGGGAAGGAGCCCCCTAGAGAAACACAGATTTACAAACCATCCACTGTACTTATCAATCATTAAATAATTATCGTGTGTTTCAGGCTCCTACGGTGATGCCTTTTTATGCAGCCAACACAGGGCCTCTGCCCCCACAACCTGGAGGTATGGTCGAGTCAGCAGGTGGTTTCGCCCCGCCGCTCAGAGACCGTTTCCCGAACTCAGTGTGGCACCCGGCGTCCGGCGCAGATCCAAACAGTGTCGGTATGTATGTCACGGGCTGCTTGCATGATCAGGGATGCAGCGAGTGGTCCACCGCTTACTAAAAGGTCACTCGGGCCCATGAAATATGAAATGGAAAGCAGAAACAGATGCCGGTCGTTGCCCCACGTGAAATTTACAGTGATGGGCATGATCGAAGAGCATTATGGCCGTGCTTCAGGTATATTTATTACTTACAAAATAGTTTGTTTGAAATGAAATTCAGAACATGAAAATGTAGTGGGATCAAACAATTTTGGTAAAATGGGTATTGAACGGAACTCTGGCAAAACGTGGACGTAAACTGCCCCTGAGATCAAGTAAGCGATTCACCGCGGAGACTTACAGATGAGTGGAGGTATGGCTCCTTGCATTCTCGTAACCTTGGCTTCAGACGGAGGTGAGAGGTGCAAGTTTACTAGCGTGAACGTAAAATTTGGTTCAAAACATTGTTTAAGTTGACAATACTTCAACTCTGTGAAAAACCACATTTTGCTGTCTTAGTTTAGTTCATAACAAACTTGCCCCAGCTTGACTGACAACTCCCCCCCAACAAATTCCTAATTGAGGAACCGTTGCGTGTGCACTTAAATGACTGAACTTTCCAGCCTCTGAAGAAATACATTTTTGTCCTCGCAGTTAGGCAACGAAGGTGACGAGTATCGGTTGAATGAAAATGTTTATTTGGTTTATCACTGAAAGGGTTAACAAATTAAAATTGAATCTGTACAGTGCACGTGAACTTGTGTTTTCACTTACAAAATTACCTGCAGACATAGGACAAGTCAGAAATATATCTGCGTTAGTAAAGTAACTTCCTGCACGTGCAATTCTATGGACAGTTGGTCATAGAAATTCCCCACCTTCTGTTGTACCTGAAGGTTTATTATAATGTCCACAGAACCCCACCGTTCCGAGCCACGTGAATCCGATCCGTGTCTTGACACCGAATGCCCGTAAGACCCCATAATATTTTCCTGTCATCGCTTTTGCAAGTGGGCCAGTCGGGCAGAAATGGCCCTCGCTGTCTTTACAAAATGTGACAAATGCAAATGAATGTTCGTTGCGGCAGGCACTTGGACACCGCAGGGCCAGTTCATACAGCAGCTGCCTCCGCAGCTGGAAGACCTGCGATATCACCATCACCCGCAGTACGCCAGCTCAACCGCATACCATCAGTCGCCTGCTGCGACAGGTGAGGATAATAATTCTGCGCTGAGAGAAAAACAAGTTTGTCTCGTCGTGCAGGAGAAAAATTGTACGTGGAATGAACTAAAGTACCAGTTGGACGTCTGCTCTGTCATTAATGGAATCCATATTGAATTTACAAAAAAAAAAATCTCTTTGAGATAAACTTAGTTTCTTTGTTTATCTGTGTTGGTTGATAAATTTTAACCTCATAAAATCTTGGAGTCACAAACTGGACACTCCTGTATGTGAAGATAATTGTCATGGGGCATCAAAACTGTTTATTCTGATTGGCAGGCTACCAGCAGCAGACTGGGTTCCTTAATGCAGAACCGCAGACAACCGCTTCATTCCAGCAGCAACCACAGCAGCAGCAGCAGCAACAACAGCAACAGTATTCGGCCCAAGGCGGGTTGCCGGGCAACCGGCCGCCATCATCTCCAGCGCAGCAGCCACTGACGCCTAGGGGCGGAAGTGGAAGTTACTCACAGGTGCACACGCCTCAGCCGTCACCTATCGGTTCTGCCAATGGACATCAGGGCAGCCACGCTGGTATGTTTGCGTTTGGTGCCAGAAGATTATCTGTGTGGCATCTCGTTAATAATATTAAAATGGATTTTAGGGAAAGGCAGGGAATCTCTCGGTTGGCGACGCATGCCATCGCGTTCCTAAGAAGGACTCTGTTCCAAGTAGTCGGTTTGTTAGTTCGTCGTGCATTTTTCTCGCCATGCGGATAGTTGGCCGTAAAACAGTGACATGTTCCACTTTTGAAAGTGGACTGATGTCTTTGCATATGGAAATGAAATTTTTGGTTTAACGCTTTCAGTGGACGGCAAAGTCTGACTGCAGTAATTTAAGAGTGGACAATACGTAGATTATTATTACATGTTTCAAATTAAGAAATATGATTATCTTGTTCACGTTCTAAAACACTTCATTAAGAGTTCAAAATGGTGGACATATTTTGGTTTCTTATTGATTTGTTCTTATAGGGCTACAGTTTTAAATTTAATATTTATAGTTTCACATCTGCAATAAAGAATTATACATGAAAATGTAATTAAGGATCATATTTTAAAACATTATTGAGACTATATAAATTTTGTAAGTGTCCGTAACATGTAATCAAGAATTTTGCAAGTATTTCTTGCCTACATATATTATTACAGCTTTGTTTAGAATTCGACAATTTTTATGACTTAACAAACACTCGCCTCTATCGCTTGTAATCACACACGGGTAATTAATTAATTAATTAATATGAACATCATGGAACATCTCTTCTTGAGAAGCGTGTGGTTGCTTTGCTGGTCAAGATTTTTCCAGTCTTTTATGGAATTAGAAGATTTGTTACTTTGTCCACAAGAGCGCGCCACTTATCCGTATTCTGAGCCAGGTGAATCCAGTGCCCATTCTCACACCATATGAGTTTAACATTTTTTTTAATATTATCTTAACAAATATTCCTAAACCTCTATAGTGGTCTCTTCTTTTCAAGTTTTGCAAGTAAAACTCTGTGTGACATTTTTTATCTTCCTAATGTGTGCTATTTGTACTACCCATCTCGTGGTCCTCGATCTGATGACCCTAAATAATATTTTGTGGGAATTACAAATCATGAAACTTCAGATTTTGTGAATTTATGCGTCTTCGTATTATAACGACAGAATATTTTTTGATTGACTTCTTAAACCCGTATCATATGGGAATATGGAATTTAAGCCTCCGTACTACAGGGCTGCTGGCTGGACGTTAACTCCGGGAAAACAGTTTATAGCGTGACGCTCGGCTTGCTGGACCACAGATGAGCCGCAGTGCAGTTAGTAATAGGTCTTCTTCATATGTTCAGAATTGCTTTTTTATGTGAAAAGTCATGATGAAGTATTTTTCTTGTGTTAAAGTAAATTGCGTTCATCGTTCTCGCAGGAAATGTGAATTTAAACAACAACAGTGTCAACGGACTGCCGAACAGTCATAATGGCACGTCATCGTCTGCTGTGAACGGCGTGAGCGGCGGGACAGTCCACAGGACAAGCGGTATGAACGGGCAGTACATGGACGCGTCTCCGGGCGGACAGTATGCCGACCAGAGAGAGTACGTCAACGGTGCAAACAGCTACGGTTCGTCACAGGTGAGGCTCACGTACTTCCAGCACAGAATTTGATTTAAAAATGGTAAAAGAATGTGTGTCACTGCCGGTTGAATGTGTCTACCATTTTGGATTTTTGCTGTTTCGGAAAATATAAATATTTCATACCTAAAGATTCTTATTGCATTGAAACAATTAAATTTACCTGTAAATGTTGCGTGAGTGTTACTGATTTAACTGAGCTCATTGGCTGACGAGTTTGGTCCTTGATTTGGGAGTTGGCTGCGTTGAATGCCACTCAGAAATTTGAATTTCGAGGCTTTGTTTAAAGCTGGTTGCACTGTGATCCTGCACAGACCACGCAAGACAGATTTTGTATTCATTTAACCGCACGAGACCGTCTGTTCTCACAGATTATGTGTTCATTTAACCGCACGAGACCGTCTGTTCACATCAAATGGATTTTAATAAACTTTGGTATTGAGATCTTAGTATTCAGTTTTGGTCAGCGTAGCATTCCCTTCCTTCCTCCGTGGCTCTGCGGTCCTCCGAGGACCTTTGCCTCCCTTATCACAGTCATCCCTTGACTCTGCCTTCCTTCGCCATCTTCTTACTCCGATGGTTCGATCTGCCTCCGCATCATCTAGCCATCTCGTACGTGGTCGTCCCCTCATCCGCGTTCCACCTGGCTGACCATTTAGCGCCTTTCTTGGGTACCTTCCACCAGTCATCCGTTACACTTATGGATGGAGCCCAGTAAATCAGGCGAGTGGAATCGGTGGACGGGAAAACTCACAATCAAACCTCAGCCATGTAGTCCAGTGGTCCCCGACCTTTTTGTGCCTACGGGCACATTTGAGAGTTTATGAGATCGTGGCGGGCGCCAACCAATTAACAAAGCCAAATTTTCTTTTCTCTGGACAAATAAGATATGGACACCAAATAATACACAAGATAACACAACGTTTAATGAAACAAGAAACCATGAAATCAGAAATACGTACTTTTATAAGTGCAATTATTATTACTCGAGTGGGAAGTTAGTCTGATGTTTGGCACTGCATTTCATCGACCAGTTTTTCAAATTTGGGAGTGTAGGATGATGTTGCCGCTCGCAAACAATCGTCAAGATGGGCGTCAGTAAGTCGAGATCTGCGCTTCGATTTTATAATGTTTGTGGTTGAACGGCCTTCATTATTCAGTACAACCTCTTTCCGTAACAACGCGGGCACCCAAAAAAAGCCTTGACGGGCGCCGCGTTCAGGACCACTGGTCTAGTCCATGGCCTGTCACTTGCTAACTCATGTCATGGCTCCTGGTATGGATAGGGAAGGAATATATTCATGCATATTAGGAGACTAATGCTTTAGTGGACGGACAGTATTAAAATTAATTTTTGCTAAGTATAATGTAGTGATGGCAACTGAGGAATGCAGCTTCCGGTTCACCGACCAAAGAGCCTTTTATTTGAGATGAGAAGTCGTTCCTGAGCGTCTGTCATCCTTTCCCTGACAGTGTTACCAACTGTGCTACCGCTGAGTAAGCACCGTAACACGATGATAACTGTTGCTGATGTGTTTAGGATGTAACAATGGCCCCGCCTCCGTCAACAACGCCGACAAGCCGCAGCAGTTCCGTTCATATGGAAACAAACAGCGACGGTTCGACAATTCCTAGCGTCGTGATGAATAATGGGACGAAGACGTCGGCCTCGGGCTACAGTAACCAGACGCCTACCAGTACCGCCAACCCCAACTCGACCGGTCACCCAAACGCCTTGCCTGGGTACCTACCCCACCCCCAAATACAACACCAACAACTTCAGCAACAGAGTTTACACAACTCTAGTAGGTGGGTTGAAACGCGGCATTTTCCATTTGCAGGGAAACGTCACATTGCGCTTGAGTCATGGTTCATGCACCAGTCATAGAAAATCAGGATGAAACTGATGAAGCAGTCGTATTGAACGACTTTTCCCGGTCTATTTATACGTTTCTCTCCTCTGATGCAGTAATCAATAGAATAGAATTTATTTGCATTCCATAGATCCTTTCATAAGCGTAAGCCAAGGACAGGTCAAAGCACAAATATTAAACTTGTTTCTAGTACAAACATAAATACATAGTTATAACAGCTATTGACAGGTTTTTGGAACTAAAGTATTGCAGCAAAATAATTATGATGAGAAACCATCACCATTATTACTTACATGCATTTATAAATGCTTCTACTGAGTAGAAGGAGTGAGATTGGAGATACTCTTTTAACGCTGGCTTAAACATTTTTATATCATGATTTAATTCCAGTAGAGTAAACTCCTGTTTGATATTTACTGAGGTTAGATATTGGCACATGAAGGTTGTATCTGTATCTGGGTGGAAGATAGGAAACTCCTTTTTGCAGGTGTAGCCTGCGTGTTGAAATTTTGTCTAATCCTCATTGACGCCACCAGATCTCTCAGTTGAAATTCTATTTTACATTTCCTCTGGGTGGAAGATAATTTGAGTACGTCGCCGAAATAATTGTGGTTTGTTATTCAGTTGTTGCTACACATCTCATTTGCGATTATCACAGATGATTCTGTGTCTTCACTCATGAGCTTGTTATGTCCAGGTATCCAGGCCAGGACAGCCTTATGGGGGATACAATGCCGGCGCCCTGGAGCGTACCGGCAAGTAGCAGCGATGGTAGAATGGTGTGGACGGAGGAGAACAAGAACACTGCAGCCACCAGTATGTACCGAGAGGATAACAGGGCTAGTGTGCAGAATGGCATGCAGAGTGAAGCTTATGAACGTATAAACCTCAACAGTCGCTTAAAGACGATGATTCTGAACAAACAGATGAATCATCAAATGCAACAGTACAACCAGCACATTCCCGTAGACCGAGCGGCAACGTCGGACGGCGGCGCCGCTCATCAGATCTTGAGTCCGGATCAGCAGCAATCGGCACAATACATGTCCTCGTCGTCATCTGGCATGGTGTCACAGATGTCGGAGAGAATGATGTCGGAGAACCAGAACGTGGGACGCATGATGGTGTCAGATACTCATCACAGTAGTGTGGCAGGAGGCAGGGCCCCTGTCGGCATGGAACGGAAGCAGCGGCTAGACAACCAATCATCCTCGGAGGTTAATTTTTTAGCCCAAGGCCACCATCCTCGGAATCATCCGTCAATAATGACGTCTGAGGGTGGTGGCTTCCCGTGGGACTGGAGCAGCTCGTCAAATAATGACATGATGGACGGTAACAGCATATCAGCCATGGAAAACTTCATCAAGTACGCAGCAAGCGAGGATCGGGGAGGAGTCATCGAGAAGTCATTAGACCTAGGCACTTCCAGTGCTTCTGTGAAACATTTTGTACCTAATAATACCTCACCTGCAAACTTCCAACAGAAATCCAGCAATAGACAAAGTGGTACCAATGTCAATTGGCATTCCCCGATGGTACCTCAGGAACAGGTGTCTGTGTCTTCAGATAATAGCAGTAGTAGTAATAATAATAATAATAATAACATTAATAATTACAAAGACCAGATGTTTAAGTGCACAGCCAGTGGCACTAACACATTCAAGTGTAGGAGGGAATGTTCTACTGAAGTAGACGACAAATCGTTTCAAAAGAGAATGGGTATAGGACCGGGGTGTAGGAATGAAATCCAGAATAATTCTTATGCCCCAGCGAGACCGGGCGCGGGCGTGGACGATCAAAGGGTACAAGTGACTGCCACCACAGGAGTTTACCATTATCAACAAGAGTATGAATTGAGTACCCCGCAGATGAAGAATGAAGGAAGGAAGGTAACACCTAGCAGTATGGGAAATAATAACTACTTTGGTCAGCAAGGTTTCGATGGCAGTAACAACGGCTTCAAGAGCGAACACCGGAAGCCAGTTCCGAACGGCTCGATGACTGCGGGCGGTTTTCACTGTCAGGTGTTCGATAACATCGGTGCGAGGAGTGACGTCAGGCCTTCTGCAGGAAATGATGCGTATTCCTGTCAGAATTTTGAGCAGAATAGTAACTGTAACAGTCAAAATGATGTAAGAACAGCTACGCCACCAGACAAAGTAACAGAATCTACTAAAGTCAAGACAGAACAACTGTCGTATCTGTTTGCTGGTGACGGTGGTCCATTACCACTGGAGAAGACAAAAGGTTCTTGGTGTTGTCGGCAAGGTGGCATCGAAACGCCTACGCCCGAACATCTGCGTGATGGCTGCTGCCAGGGCTTCCAGACAGCTGATGAGCAGGTATAAACTGTGCTCGCAATTTGGTTATGCCTCTCAGTGTTTTGCATGCTACAGGCTCTATGAACCAGAATTTAAAGTGATAAAAATATTGAAATCATATCATGTCATGTTATAAAATCCTCTCAAGTGATCAACTGTGTCAGTGTCGAGTTAAAAAACCAGCGTTTCGGACGCTAGCTCTGTCCTTGTTGTCAGTGTCAGCGCGAGGAAGTACCAAAATTGACTGAAAAATTACCAAATTAGTGAAATTTTGGTCATTCCTGACAACAAGGACAGAGCTAGCGTCCGAAACACTGGTTTTTAACTCGACATTGACGTGGCCGATTGCCGTGAAGGATTTTATAACGTTCGTGCACCATACAAGTTTCAGATCTTACATATCACGTTATGTTATTATTTACCGACGCTCGTGTCTCTCGGTAATAATCTATATTGAATTTAAAAAAATTCTTACCTTGTGCTGGGATGCAGTCGTGTGTTCATAAGACGACTCCTGAAGCCTGTCCGTTCTGGACGCACGTTGAAATCGGGGCTTGTGGCACTGTTCAGGTTGATTCTGTGAAAGCATGTTGATGTTGATGTTGAACAAGGATACAAAGCAGCCGTGGTCCCCACAGCAGCCTGATGCAAGTACTGGAGATGGATGCCACAATACAAACAAGGGCTTTGGAGGAATGTCGGCCAAGGAGTTTCAAGATCATCTGGAGCGACTGAAGAACAACGTGAGAGCCGAAGTTCCCGACTGCAACTGCTTTCCACCTGACAAATGTAAGATCGTGTTTCTTGTTGATTTCGTTGACCCGTTCGTGTCAAAATTCACTGAGTTCGAGGTCTTTGTGTTACTAAATGTTATAATTAAGATTATATTGTTACACAGCGTTATTTAACAAGCAAATCAGCAGGTAAGACTTGAGGTTCTCACAGCGGTGAGTATGAAGATTTCCGTCTTCTGGGTTGTTGCGCTGAAAAACAACCCAGAAGACAGAAATCTTCATACTCTGATGACGGAGGCAGTATGACCTCTGAAACGTTGGTTAACATCGACCAGACTACACAGCGCAACAACCCAGAAGACGGAAATCTTCAAATCAGCAGGTGATATACAAGGTTTTGTTCCAAATATAACCTCAAACGTTTTGTGGCATTTATATGTTCTTTTCAACACTGAACAAAACTGACAGTATAGCAAATTTTGGGCATTTTTCCCCGTGCTCGCACAACACATTCCACCGATATGTGCGCAACACATTTCTTAGGAAGCTTGTTTTTATTATCTTGTGTAGAACAATAAATTATCGTCCCATAGTGATTAAAGAGTAACAAATGAAAAATAAAATGTTATTGTAGGCCCGCCAGAGCCCGGATCATACTACACACACCTGGGGGCATCGGCAAATCTCACCGACCTACGGAAAGATGTAGAGAAGAGGATGGGCTTCAAGGGCAAAGCATTGCGGATAGAGAAGGTGATGTACACTGGCAAAGAGGGGAAGACAACGCAGGGCTGCCCACTTGCCAAGTGGGTGAGTTTGACTTGACGTCCTTTTCGTTTTGAACGTAGCGCATCTTGATCCACAGCGAGCAGTGTGTGCTCTGTTCATTTCGGACGAGCGTCTCAAAATAACTTACGTACTTCATATGCGGTAGCTGTACAGGTACAACTACCGCATAATCTGGAACTCGTCTCTAGATTTGCGGCTTTCTGTGAGCGGCACCCGTCAAAAACTGTCTGATTCGGTCTTATAGGATATGCAGTAGCTGTACCTGTACAGCGCATTATCTGAAACTCGTCTCTAGATTTGCGGCTTCCTGTGAGCGGCACCCTTCAAAAACTGTCTGATTCGGTCTTATAGTTAGAAGATTCATTGGCATAGGAGCTTGAAATAGAATCTTATGAGTTGTTTTTGTAACTCGTGGCTGCGTCTTGATTGCTTTTGCTTGCACGGTAGAACACAAATTAAATTACCTGATCCAACAGTCATAAATGTTATTAAAGCCAGCACAAACCAATTTGTCAGCAGAATCTGTCTTGATTCCTCTCCCTTCATCATTGTTAACTTCTGTATCCAGCATCAGCATTTTACTCATCTGACCACCGACTCGCGTCAGGAATCGCAATGCCAGCGTAGGGAGTACATAGTCCAGTCTGTGATGGAAGCATTTGGTCAATTTCTAAAATCTAACATAAATTTTCAGTGTTTTCCCATAAATTGCATTTCTTTCCGTTCCACTGCCTTGAATATGGAGTCTGTGGTCCGAGTTCCCCCAAAATACATGTTATTTCATTTTAATTTCCCGTGTTCTATTTTTTACTGGTTAGTTTTTCATTCCAGCCATTAGATACTCTGAGGAGTTTGTCAGTTGCTATCTGGCGAGCGTCCAGTATGCTTTTATTTCCGAGTTAGCTGTTATTAGTCTTGTTATAATTTAATCTGTTGGTTAAGGGTGCAGCCTGCTCTGCGATTGTTTCATTTGTATTTGCGTGTTTGACGAGGCTCGATGGCTACGCAAAGGAGAAATTCATTATATCACAGATACACTTGTTGTGAAACAACTTGGAATATCAGTATCGACCCCGAATAGTCGAAAACTCGTCCAGGTCGTCTCGACAACGCATTTCATTCCGCTGGCTCCAGTGTCGAGTTCAATTAAACACCCAATTTTCACTATGATTTTTGGTCTTTGTGAACACTTCAGTCGTATTTTAATGCCATATGAACTGTTTTGAGTTTTCTGTTTAGGAACTCGCATTCATCGGTGAAAATTATTGAAGTATACTAATGGAAATCACGTCAGTACAGAATAACTGCACTTCGGGATCCAAGCAACATCCGTGTTTGTAAATGTTGCCAACTGCCAGTCTGATGCTCGTCTTGTAAATCTGTCTCGTGCTGTAACGTACAGTGTTTAAAAAATTTGAAGATGAGGATACGGTTAGAGGCATGAGATAAAGTAGAACGCTGCGACGATGATGACGATTACATGGGTGAATTAGGTTATGAGTTTTTTGAGCTGCTGAGTGTTGATGAAATTTTGCGAAATTCATTTGTGTCAGACCACTGCTATAAAGAAAAGGCCTGAAAGGGTTAAAACTTGTACAAGCCCGATGCTGTCTGCAGATAATTCGTCGGTCAAGCATGGAGGAGAAGATTCTGTGTATTGTGAAACACCGGCAAGGCCACAAGTGTCCGACAGCTTGGATTGTAGTGGTGATGGTTGCGTGGGAAGGGGTACCGTCACATGAAGCGGACCGAGTGTACAATCTGCTAACTCACAAACTGAACCGATACGGTCTTCCAACCACGCGACGCTGTGCCACCAATGAACCCAGGACCTGTGCTTGCCAAGGGCTCGACCCAGACACGTGTGGCGCCAGTTTCTCCTTTGGATGTTCTTGGTCCATGTACTACAACGGTTGCAAATACGCACGCTCCAAGACTGTGCGCAAGTTTCGTCTGTCCGTCAGGTCTGAGGTAAGATATGCGTTTGGTATTATTGTTGATTTTGTATGAATGTGTCGGACATTCCCTCACAGCCGCTGCGATCGGGCTAGCTGGCCGAATGTGAAGGATGTCTAAAACATCCGCATTGCAGCCTACTTATTTGTGGTGCGGTCATCTAGAAACAGAATCTGCATTAGCATTGGACCACCGCAAAATTTCAGACCATAAGTAACGCGCTACGGGGAGGACATAGATTATCCATGTATATCGTCAGCGATTGGTGATGGGATGTGCGTCATTTGTTTTAGGAACATTTGTGCGAACATTGCAGTTGCCTTCATCACCCTGGCTCCAGCCACGAAAATTGAGCGGCTGGAAATACGCTGCAGTGTTTTACTGCGTTTATCGGCACATTAACTCCATGAAAATTGAGTCTTTTAGTTGGACATTTGTCCCTGAAAAGGCGCTCCAGCATCTTGTGGGTTGCTTATTATTCTATTTCCATTGCTTTCCACGGATGAATTCTGCGTCTTTGGTGGAAACATTTTCCATTGCTTTCCGCGGATGAATTCTGCGTCTTTGGTGGAAACACGTGCTGGGGAGAGAACATTAATTGACTTGGAAGAGAGGGAGTATCAGGAGATTAAGGAGAACTGTGTACATAATCAGGGTGCGATGAAATGAAGGGATGAGCAGGCATGTAGCAGGCATGAAAGTGATTGGAACATTTTTGTCACAAACCCTGAAGATATAGGCACAGATTGGAGAGTAATATTAAAATAGGTCTCAAAGAACTAAGGTGAAGGTGTGGGTGTGTGTGAATGAATGTTAAGAGTTGCTAGTTTTGTTCTTACAGAGATAAGTATACCAAATTCTGCAGCAGTTGACGTAACACAGTTAAATAACTATTCCACATCATGGAGATGTAATGGACTTGAGAGCCATTTCAGTTAAGTTCACTTAATTTCCTGTTGATTTTTGTGACTTGTCAACTTTTGTGTACGTTTCAGGAACAAGAAGTGGAAGAACGAATGCACGTGTTGGCAACACTGCTCTCTCCCTTGTACCATTCTCTGGCACCAGATGCTTTTAAGAACCAGACGCAGTTTGAAAGAGAGGCTTCAGAGTGTCGGTTGGGTTTTAAACCAGGGCGTCCTTTCTCCGGTGTCACCGCTTGCATCGACTTCTGTGCCCATTCGCATCGTGACCTGCACAACATGAACAACGGTTGCACCGTGGTGGGTTCCTTGTGTTGAAGCAGTTGATCAAATTGTTCAGGTTTGGGTTGATGTATTATCAGTTGTGGATTAATTTTTCCCCATTCGACGTAGCTGACGTTTGACCGTGTGACCAGAACAATCTAATTGTCTGCGTAAAGTAGTTTCCTAAAGAGGGTGCGAGTATTTTGTGACCTGAACAGGAGAAAAAGATAAGTGCTGTAGTTAAATTCCTGTTTTATATGAAAGTAGATTCTAAGATAGAACAGAATAGTAATATTAAAGGTATAATCGAATGTTGCAGGTGGTAAGCCTGACAAAACACCGAACCTTATCAAAACCAGATGACGAACAGCTACATGTCCTGCCGCTGTATGTGATGGATGACACCGATGAGTTTGGGAGCAAGGAAGGACAGGATGCCAAGGTCAAGAGCGGCGCTGTGGAAACCTTGACTAAGTGAGTGATTTAACGTTGAATATATTTTAATGTCTCTAGTGACTGATATATAGGATTTCTGATTCTTACCTGTTGTTGGGACTGACGAAGTAAGAATCTAGTGTATCTGTACGCGCATACTACAAGCTGCACGAAACGTAGATGAATAATTGTCCTTCTGTGCTGAATGTACTGTACTCTTTCTTCACGCAGATTTCCATGCGAGGTGCGTGTGAGGGCCGTTCCACTGCAGCCATGCCGGCGTCACGGCAAGAAGCGTAAGGAAGATGAGCCGGATGCAGTGATAGGACGGAAGGATCCCGCCACCGTACACCGCAGTCCTTGCTCCATGGGGGCAGTGGACCATAGAGGAACCCCTATTTCCCTAGACATGGCATCTATGCTTGAGGGCATGGAGGCGGCACAGCTCCAGAGCTCTCAGGTACTGCAGTGATATGGCTGTTTAATGACACTGTATCAGTAACATTTAGTGAAGGATGAATGGGGAAAACTTCAAAATTTATTTCAAGATATTTTCCAGAAGAAGATGTTTCTTATCCAAGATTCGGATTGGATTTGTTGCAACCACGTTACTACTACTACTACACCCCCCACCCCCCGCTTCCTTTTTATTGTTGCGCTGGGGTGGAATTGTGTCTGATAACAGGCGCATTGTCCATATTCCACTTGAGTGAATATCGAGCGGCAGTGGAGTAAATGTGACAGAGCAAAACTGAAGGACTTGGAGAAACGCCTGTCTCATTGCGATAAATTCCACGTAGACTGCCGTGGGCATGAACATCATTTGCTTATGTCATAGAATTTGATTTTGCATAACTTTAAGGGGTTGTACAGACCTGCAACTTTCATAAAGCTCATTTATAAGTGCTGTAGAGATGTTAGCACCAACTTCAATGTCATTTTGCTGTTATGGCAACTTGCAGGTGTCATCAACTGTGCTTGACAGTCCAGTATCCATGTACCAGGGCTGGAGCTACCATCACCACCAGGGCGCCGAGTCGCGTGGTGCAGATGCGTACGGCTCTCCTGGTGCATGGGGACAGCCTCACACTTGGATGGCAGCTGAAGCACAGAGGAAACAGAACTGGTTGAACTCTACAGCCGCAACAGCCGTGAGTGGAAATTTGAGTTCTGGGAACTTAAGTGGTTGGGGAGCGACTGATTATGGCGCATTTGGTGGTGGAGCTACAGGCTTGGCTGCTTCGGCAAATGATCGGGATGGGAGGGTTGATCCTGATAGCACGACTAACCACAGTCTGGTGGCGAATTCTGCAAACCTGGGAGGAAGTTCAAGCCTGAATCCCCTGCAGTCGCCTCTCAATACGAGTTCAGCGGGACTTTGTAATAACTTCAATGTGAATAGTCCCACTGGCACAGGCCTGGCCCAACTCAGTGGTCACATAAGTCCGCACAACCAGGCTTCCACTCCTTCTAGTCCGTTTGTGTTCCAGCAGCCGGCATCTCCTTGGCGGCCGAGTCAGAGCCAACCTCAGCGGCAAAGTAGTTCTAATGACTTGTTTTCGGAAAACGGGACCTCCCAACCTTCTGTTTCGCGGGGGGAAACAGTGAATTGGCAGGCAGGCTCAGGCCTGCCAAATACATTAAACTCTGAGCAATCCAAGATCCCATCAGCATCATCTCCAAGCACGGACGGCTCCAGTAAGCAGAGAAGCCCCATATCAAGTGGCAATGATGCTGGAACTGGTTCAGGACAGTTGGAGAGGTCTCCTTATCCATCTCATCTGCCCCCATCACCCTTCTCTTCACCGCAGTCCCAGCAGGCGCTAAACAGTCCACAGCAAACCCCCATCGGCAATAGCTCCCTACCTCCTAATCATCTTGGCACTAATCCAGCGCAGCAGCAGTCTTTAAGTCTGCCACTTCCAGCGACTGGTGGTGACAGTGGCTTTTCACAGCCTCATACACCCCAGGAAAGTAACCCTCAGTCATCCAAAACACCTGAACGCTCAATGTCAGTACCACTTCCTCTGACCCCCACGGACCACTCTGCTTCCTCCTCTTGCTCTGGTTCTAGTCGAGGAGGCTGGGTGACACCTGAGAGACCTCAGTCCACTTGGGACTACAATCCTCTTACTCCTGCCCCACCTCCCACGACATCCCCGACACAGGCCTCTCCCTTCCGCATCCCTAAAGGTCGGCCCCCCTCTCGAACATCAAACCTGCATTCCACCAATGGCACCAGCAGTAATAACAACATCAACAACACGCCACCGATGTCCTCAAATGAAATGGGGTCGACAAACACATCCCCCACAACTGGAGCTCAAGGTTTAAATTATTCTCCTTCAAACCAAACATACTGTAAAGGTTTCTTGAAACCTTTCCCTCCTGGTGAAAATTCTGTAGCAAAACCACTTCATTTGGACAATCAAAATCAGCAAACTGGCTCATCGGCTAACAGTAGTATGAAGGACTCGTCTATGCCCTGGGCGCAAGAGAACAGGATGGCAATATCTGAACAAGGAGCGAAGTCCTTGGGCTCAGTAGAGTCCTTGCCGGCCGTGTCGTGGTTCGGCAATAAGTTAAATGGAAATCGGAGTGCAAAGTCCAGTGTGTACTTGAACAGTACAGAGGCAGATGACGGTTCCTGTACCGCGATGATTTCCGATGTGACCACACAACAAGGGAAGGGCTCATGTACTGGCATCAAGCAGGAAGCCCTGTCATCGTCATCATGGTCTTCCACAGATGAAGCGAAGCAGCTCAATGACTACCACGCAGCTCAGCTGTCTTACAACTCCGCTGCGGCAGCTTCCCCTGTCAATGCAGGCAACCCCTTTGTTTCCGGTTTAAACAGTTGTGCATCGAGCTATGGCTACTGTGGTTCCACCGGCGGTTCTTTCATGTCCGGAGGCTATTCAATGTTTCCGGAGAGCAAAGCGTGGAACGAGGCCGCTGGTTACGTGGATTCGCGTACAGCCTCTGCTCCACATGTGAATATGAATTATCCATACCAGACTGTGGACTTCAACTCTCAGTTCTATGCAGGTCAGTCTGCCAAGCAAGAAGCCGCTGCTCGGTCGGCGTGTTATCATTCGTCCCCTTACGGTTATCAAGGGATGAGCCAGTTTCACCCGCAGTACGCCGGGCCGGCTTCGCAATATCCTGGACAGTTTCACCACCATCGGTGGGACGCACACCGCTGGGACTTGTATGGTCCTCCTCCGTTTTTCCCAGTTGTTCCAGAAGCGCCCCGATCAGAGCCTATCGGTGAAGTCACAGACTACATTGACAATGAGGAATGTTTCAAAGATTCCCAGATGGGAGGTGTTGCCATTGCTCTGGGACATGGTTCAGTGCTGTTTGAGTGTGCCAAACATGAGTTGCATGCTACGACAGCCTTGCGGCGTCCCAATAGATTACACCCAACCCGAATAAGCTTAGTCTTCTACCAGCATCGGAATTTGAATCGGGCGAAACACGGTTGGGACGAATGGGAAGAAAAGATGAGGTTACGTAAACTTGGCATCACTACTTCAAGTGCAAACAGTGGGAGCTCTAGCACGGCCGGCGGCAATAACGGTTCAAATGGTTCGGGAAATGGCAGCAGTAACAGCAGCTCAATTGCAGACCTGATCCACCTTCTGCCTCCTACTGATCGACCACCAACATACACATCACAGTTCCTGATGCGTACCCCAACCTTTACAACCACTACGTGGACGACTCTGTTCCCTATGCATCCTTGTATGGTGACTGGCCCCTACCAAGAAGGTGGGGCCGTGGGATAGGTCGTGGCCGGAGCGTTGTCCGAGCCTCTGTGAGGCACAGCGTGAGGCTGTGTCTACTGCTGCAGGGAGATCCTTAGCTAAGAATCCTTCTTTTCGTTGGACCGAATTGAAGGTTACTCGCAGCACTTACGCTGTGGTGTGTTCTGCAGACAGCCTGAAATGTTTGCTAGCGGCGCAGACTGCCACGCAGTGCAGATGCCAAACATGGATGGGGTTGCAGAACAGACCATAAGATAGTTGAGGAGTAGCAGGTGTGAAATTAGTAACAATGTTGGTAACACTGCAGTGGAGTCTGTTAAGGGAAGATAGGCCTTTTAATGTTGCAGCTAGGAGAACTCTAAACATTTTATCATTTTAAGAATTCTGCATTTGGCAGTTTGATGCATGCAAATGATTGTATGTATCTGCATGCAGTGGTCACGTTGCTGGAAGTTGTTGAACGATGCAGACGTTACTGGGTCAACTTCATCCGCTGCACACAAAATGTGTATCAACCCAGTGTGGCTTGATATCCCCCCTTTTTTTTAAAAAAAAGAAACTATCATGGTTTGAATAGTAAACCGTGGCTTATTTTAATATGACGATTAAATAAATATCATTTCCCTAGGTGATACGTGACATCAGGATTTACACAGTCTGGTATTGTAATAGGTTATATTTCAAAAGTTAGGTACTGCATAGGACTCGATATTCTTTGCCATCACGTCATGAATTTTTATGGACTTTACGTGCGTTTTAAAAGTTTGGTCTCCCTTACGTGATTGTATCTCTCACCCTTGTACTCCCTGCACCAACTCATTCAACCCCATGCCAGAAGTGCGTACACATTAGTTACAAAAATTTGTACTTATTTTATTTGGCAATGGAAAGTTGTGTAATGAATGTCGACTGCAAGGTCAAGCAGAAGATGGGTACCCTGAGACTTGAGTCCTGTGCGAGGTGTAAGCGGGTCAGTCTTCCCAAATGGAAGATTGTCCCTCTGTGTGCGCATTTGAATGTTCAGTGTAACTCTAACGCGCAGTACGCTGATTTCATCTTACGCCAAAGCACTGGATTATATTTTAAAATATTTTAACTATTTCATGTTGTACATTCCGTGATATAAATTCTTATACGCGTGGAGTTTTTGATTGAACTCGGTTCCAGGCAGCGCACATTTTAAAGAAATGCACGTTTCTCAATTTTACATGCAGCTATTTGAAAGGCTAAATTCAGCTTCGCCCAGTCTGAGAAGAAAGTTTGTAAATAATGTAAAGACTGTCTTAAATTTAAGTATGTTCAGTGTTTCGGTCCTCACCATGTTAGAAAAAGAGACATTGCGTAATGAAAAATTCTGTAAGGCTACA